GTCTCCAAACTTCCAATCTCTCATTAACACCGGTTCATGACTCATCAATCAAAACTATGTCATCGGCAAATAGCATACACCACGGCACCTCCCTTTGAATATGGTTTGTTATCGCATCCATCACCAGGGTGAATAAGAACGGACTGAGTGCAGAGCCTTGGTGTAACTCCATATCAACCGGAAAATGCTTAGAGTCGCCTCCTACTGTCCTAACCCGAGTATTAGCCCCATTATACATGTCCTTAATTGGCGTAATATAAGGAACCGACACACCTTTTGCCTCCAAGCATCTCCAGAGAACTTCTCTAGGAACCTTGTCATACGCTTTCTCCAGGTCAATAAACACCATGTGCAGATCCTTCTTTCTCTCTCTATACAGTTCCACCAATCTCATAACAAGGTGTATAACTTCTGTGGTGGAATGACCCGGCATGAACCCGAACTAATTATCGGATACAGACACTATCATCCTCACCCTCGCTTCAACCACCCTCTCCCATACTTTCATGGCATAACTTAGTAGTTTGATACCCCTATAATTGTTGCAACTCTGGATATCACCTTTGTTCTTATACAGTGGAACCACCGTACTCCACCTACACTCATATGACATCCTTTTTGCTATAAAAATAACATTAAACAACTCAGTCAACCACTCCACACCTGCTCTCCCTACACACTTTCAAAACTCCACTGGAATATCGTCTGGCCCGGTTGCTCTGCCCCTACTCATCTTACACATAGCCCTCATGACCTCCTCGACCTCGATATGCTTGTAGTGCCCGAAGTCACGTTGACTCTCAGAATGCTCCAATTCACCTAGAACAATATCACGATCACCTTTTCCATTCAGAAGTTTATGAAAGTAAGTCTGCCATCTCCTCTTAATTTGGGCATCTTCCGCCAGTACTCTACCATCTTCGTCCTTAATGCATCTCAATTGGTCCAAATCTCGAGCCTTCCTCTCTCTCAATTTGGCCAGCCAGAATAACTTCTTCTCCCCGTCTTTTTCCCCCATTTCCTCATACATACGACCATAATCCGCAGTCTTAGCCTCTGTGACCGACAGTTTAGCTTCCTTCCTAGCTACCTTATATCTCTCCATGCACGCCCGCCTCTCCGCCTCACCTATGCTCCCCACTAACTTCAGGTATGTCGCTTTCTTCGCTTCCACTTTACCTTAGACCACTTCATTCCACCACCAGTCTCCTTTGTGCCCACCAAAGACACCGGTCGAGACCCCTAACACCTCTCTCGCAGACTCCCTTATACAGTTTGTTGTCGCTGACCACTTAGTGTTTGCGTCCCCACTGCTCCTCCAAGCTCCCATAGCCGACAACCAACACTCCAACTCTTGGGCTTTATCCTTAGTCAAGGCTCCCCACCTGATTCTTGGTTTTCCCCGAGCAGACCTTTTCCTTCTCTTTAACCTAATACCAACATCTAGCACCAAGAGTCTATGCTGCGTCGTGAGTGTCTCACTCGGAATCACCTTGCAGTCCTTGCACAACCCGCTATCACACCTCATGAGGAGGAGATAGTCAATCTGAGTCTTCGGTACCGCATTTTGAAAAGTAATCAAATGCTCTTTCCTCTTCGGAAAGCTAGAGTTTGCAATCACCAACCCAAAAGCCTTAGCGAAGTCCAACAGCGAGGTACCTTCCCCGTTCATCTCCCCAAAACCAAAGCCTCCATGCACCTCGCCATAACCACTTTCGGTCACCCCAATATGACCATTGAAATCCCCTCATATGAATAGCTTCTCAGCAGGAGGAACCTGGCGCACAATCTCATCTAACCCCTCCCAAAAGCGTTGTTTTACCTCCTCATCTAGGCCCGCATGCAGCGCATAAGCGCTAACGACGTTCAGGGTGTACTCTCCAATCACCAACTTAATAAACTAAGTCATACTAATAAAAATAATCATAAAAAGTTAGCAATGATATACAACATTCAAAAAATCTAAGCAAAAGAAAAAAATTAATGTGTATGATTGAAAATCGTTGAAAATACATAAATAACGCAATATACAAAATTTCAAAGAGAGTGGAGGTGATTTTGACTAATGAGTCAAAATTTGTTATTAACGATATACAACAACAACAACAACAACAAAAAATTTAGTAAAATCTCACAAGTGGGGTTTGGGGAGGGTAGTGTATACGCAAATCTTACCCCTAACTTATGAAGGTAGGGAGGTTGTTTCCGAAAGACTCTCGGATCAAGAACAATAAAAATGAAGTAATAAAGAAACAATAGCAACAACAAGGTAATAAGACAATGGAAGCAAATAATACAACGAGTAATAATAAAGATCCAGGGATACGAAACTACAACAATAGTGTCAATCCTACTAATAATGATGACGCACCGTATAAAAACAAGGGAGTAGGAATAGGAAAATACCTGACTAGTACTACTACTTGCGGTAAGACAAGGCGAAATTCTAGACTGTCTATCAACCCACCACCCTAATTCTCGACCTCCACGCCTTTCTATCGAGGGTCATGTCCTCGATAAGCTGGAGCAGAGTCATGTCATGCCTAATCACCTCACCCCAGTTCTTCTTAGGCCTTCTTATACCCCTCCTCTGACTCGCATGAGAAACCTCTCACGCCTCCTAATCAGGACATCAGAGTCTCTCCTCTTCACATGATCGAACCATCTCAGCCTCGATTTCTGCAACTTATCTTCCATAGGAGCCACACTCACTTTGTCCATAATATATTTTCCTATTATTAATGATATACAATATTCAAAAAATTAGGAAAAAATATTTTTTCAATAGTTATGGTTGAAATTCTTTGAAAACACGTAGATGAGACAATATATAATATTTCAGAAAGATTGGAGGTGACTTGGATTAGTTTAAAGAAAAAAATTCTTAGCCAAGCTTGAGTTTATAAATTTCTTTACGACGTGTGTATCTAACATGTATCTCACACATATGTATCCATAGATATATATATATATATATATAGGTACACAAAAGATATACATTTAATACATATGGAATATACAAAAAATACACCGGAGATGCATAGTAAGATACACATATCATCTTTTTTCATGTTCATCTTCAACTTCGAATTTGGCTCAAATTTTAATTTAAACCACCTCAAAACTCCACTAGATCATCCTAGAATGAGATATAAACTCTTGAAATGTACCCAATATATTCCAACAGTACTCACTCAAAACAAATTCAAAATTTTAAAACTCAAATATTCAAATTCAATAAGTGAGCTTCAATAGCTTTCAATGGAGTCCAAGGCCAACTAAAAACGGTTGTGATGACGAGCATCAAAGAGTAGACAAATAAGACACATAAGGAACATTTTCTTTGTATAAACCATGAAGTTAGACAATATCTTGACAAAATGCATACAATTTCTCGAAATTCGCTATTGAATTAGATAATTAATAATACTAATAATCTTTAAATCAATTTAAGATAATACTAAGGTAATTGTACTTTTTTTCTTTCTTTTTTCTTCCCTAAGAATCATACATAATCAATTCCGCTAAGATTGGTAGCATTTTACGACAATTAGCTAATATTAATAGTATTTTATGAATTAGATAATATTTATACTATTAAAGGCCAAACGGGATAGTTTGCTCTTTTTAGGGCATCTCCAACCTTTACCCCCATTTTGATCCCCAAAACGGGATAATTTACTCCAATCATTCCCCAATTTTTTTCCCCAAAAGAGAATATTCTTTTTTATATTTTTTTCTCTCTCTTCTATATTATATTATTATCTTCCATTTCATTTTTATTTTTTAATTTCTATTAAACAAATTCAATCTTTTATTTTCATTAATTTATAATTCTCATTAAAAAAATTCCATAAAATTTTAAATAATATAATTTTTAAGCAATTATTATAGATTAACTAATAATTCAAATAAAAGTGAAATCATTGCGGTACAAGATTAATTAAATACATATTACATAACGATAAAATTCATTCGAAATACTACATAAATATTCAACTTCAACCTCTATATTCTCTCATAAATAATCTATTAATGCATAACCTCTAGCAACATCTAATATTTTATATTGGAAACTTTCAATTTTAGCATCATCTAATATTTTATATTTGTACCATTCATTTTTGAGATGATTATATATTTTTTGTACAAGTATAAATTATAATAAAACTAACTTATAATTTTACATAAAAATAATAAATGCACGAAAATTAATTTATCAAAATTATACGCCAAAGTTAAGATGTAAAATTAATATCATAAAGATATTACATAAACATAATTAGGTATATATAAAGAGATAAATTAAAAGAGTTAAATAATAAAATATGCATGAATAGTAATGGAGGAGATGAATAGTATTCGAACACTATTCATCCTCCATTTCGGGGGCAACAATGAGAGAGGGTTGGAGCTCCATTATGGCAAAAGTTGGCCCCCGTTATGGAGAAATGGGGGAGGGACGGAGATGGCCTTAAACTTTCTTTCCTAGTGATGTGATGGTAAACAAAAGACACTACGATAGTTTATTATAAAATATTTTATTTTATTATTTTATAAATATTTAAATTCAAAAATAATAATCAACAACTAATTATTAACTAAATAACTAATTATTAACTACTTATATCATGTGGCTTTTTTCTAAGCTGCCAATTGGCTTAAGGAGAGGGTTTATTTCTCTCCTTTTAATAATATATATATATAGCTAATAATATATATTTTTGGTATATTAATGTATAATATACATATACTAAATATTTTTTTATATATTTGAATAACAAAGAGTATAATTATTTTTGGGCTGATCAATCATATATGTAACTTGCCCAAATTCTTGGCTTAATTTAACATTATATCATAATAAATTAATATGAATTGGGGTAAACACCCGTTGTATGTTTTTTGACTTTTTCCCACGCATCCCAATTACGGGAATGTAGTAATTTGGGAAACTTTTTCTTTTTTTAGTGTAAAAAGTTTAGAGAAAGTGCTGACGAGAGAGAGAGGAAAGTAGGGGGCCGACAGAGGAACTTTGGTCTGAAGTTTCCCTTATCGTCATCATTATTATCCTCAAAGATCCAACAAAAACACTTGTACTCAACCTCCCTTTCTTCTCTTTGTTTATTGGTACAAGAATTCACCGGAATAAGTAACCAAGATGGGTGCTTTTGGAATCTTGTAGCTTATTTTGTGAAAACTCTATACAGAAATGAAATACTCCAAAATGGGTTCTTAACAACTTATATCACTAGATGTTTTTGTGAAATTCATATACAGAAATAAAATACCCAAAAGGGATTCTTGAGGACTTGATGATTAGTTTAACTTTTGCTCAGCAGAGTAAAGATTGCTGTTTGAGCTGACACGAGCATTTACCAAAGAAACATATGTCGAGAGATTTTGTTCAATCCACGACTAGGCTGTTTTCTGGTAAGCTCCTTTTTTCAGTTGTATAAACAACTCTTAGCTATTATAATTTCCTGGCACTCCCTTTTTTCCCTTTCATTGTTTGTTTGTTTCATCCTTTTTTTTCCGAGAACAAATAATTTGCTTTATCTGCCTTTATTATTTTCTCGGAGTTTGTTTGGCTCTTATTTTAAGTGGATTTATGTTATAATCATTTGGCCGGGTTAGTTTGTGTGCACCTCGAAAAATACCTGGTATCTTCAACCAGTGGACTTTGCATATAAGGGTTTAGGCAGATGAGAGGAAATCACCGAACCTTTTTTTTTTGTCCATTAGGATTTAAACCTGGTCTGCTGTGGTGTTTATTGTGGTTCTTCAGCTGAACAATGTTGCTTTTCTATGGTCTCTGCTGAAACTTTTGTTTTTAGATTAAAGATAGTTCTTATAGTTATTCCTATAGAGGTCTAAAAACTGCATAATTTAGATGATATTCTTGGTTAGTGTCATATTTATCTAAAAAAATTGGTTAGTGTAATGCTTGAGATGAATTTATTCCAATCCGTTAAGATAGGGTTGATTTTGGTAATTTTCTCATCTGGTTATCGTTTGCTCCAAAGATGCCGTTGGCTGTTGAGACAAAACTGGATCAAAAAATATAAACCTGGAGGCTGTTTATGTTCAGTGTCAGATAGAACAACTCTCGAACTTGAGGGACCATTTAGGTCAAGAACTCATTGATTACACTTGTATATAGTGTTTTAAATGTCTCATCAATTAACTTCTTATGGACTTCAGGACACTCGATTCACCTTCTCATTTTTCTAGCTGTTCTCTTTTCTGTTTGTACAAGTTTTGCACTTTCATATATGATAAACTAGTAATGTTTACCGAGAGAGATATATTGTATAGAGATGTGTCCTTACATTCATGAGCATATGCCTGTTGTCTCAATTATGCGCCACATATATCTTTTGTGGTTGTGACTTTAGCTTGGATTTCCGTAGCTCTCATTTTCTTAACTGCAGAATTTTGTTGATAAAAAGGGTACATCGCGAGGGTCAAGACCAAATCCAGGAAATCAACCTTTTTACGTTGCAATGCAGGGGGCAGATTGTTTCCAATTGTCATATGGAGCCTAGTAGGGTGCCTTCTTTTACTTCAGCTGTGCTCCTTTACTTATCAAAGAAATGTGCAAAGCGGCGGGACTCACTTAAGTATAAGCCAGCAGACACAGTTTCGGGAGCTTGAAGAGGTCGAGAAGGAGAATATACAGCTTCCACCACCCAGGAAGAGATCCCCACGTGCTGCCAAACGGAAGCCTAAAAGGCCAACGACCTTGATTTATGAATTCCTAGACGAGTCTTCCCAGCTAAGGCATGTGTTTTTCCCTGGTCAAAGAACTGTTGTGGATCCTAGGAAGAATTATGGGAATGATACCTATTACTACCGGCCAGGAAGAATGTGGTTGGATACTGAGGGGAACCCTATACAAGCTCATGGGGGAGGCATTCTTTATGATTCAAGGACAAAAATGTATTATTGGTATGGAGAGTATAAAGACGGCCCCACTTACCATGCTCACAAAAAAGGAGCAGCAAGGGTAAGTTTCAGAATGGTGCATGGTTATAGGTTAATCAGTTTATATTAGTTAATGCCAATATACTCCGTGTTTTCCGTCAATTCTACATCTTGTTCCCTAGGCCCTTCTCCTCTCTCTTCTCTTATATTGTATGTGCTTGAATAAACGGTACTGAAAATGAGAACAAAAGAAAACCTTAAGCCATTCCAAGAGCACTCTTTAAACAGAAATCATCATGGCTTTGTCTTGCTCATGTTCTTCCTTAGACAGTAATGAAATATTCAGTTACGTTGCAGCATTCTGTCCTAGAGCTCATATGGTCCTTTCCTCCATTCTGTTGGTTAATGATTCATCGGCATATTTATGACTTCCTTTTCTCCATTTTCTATAAGTTTATGATCCATTAGTGTGCTTTATGAAATAATATGACAATTATGCAGTAAATAGTATTTTATGGGATAAGATTATCATCTATTGGTTCTCCCTATTCTATTATCAGTCTGAACGCTCTTTTAATTGATTCCTTCTGTTGATGAACTTACACTCATGAAAGCTGTGCAATTGATTCACCGAGCCACCTTTTAGGTTGTCAAGCATGTTTCTTATCTTTTAGATGTCAGCAGCTCAATGACAGTGCTCTGTGAAAAGAAAAACCTATTTGCTTCTCCAAAATTGACAGGGTAAACTGAATAGCAAAGAAGAAGATGATATAGACTGAATGAGAATGAAAAGACATGGGGGCAGTTTAATATCCCTGTTAAATAGGATGATAGATGGAATATGAAGAGATGAAAAGAAAAGGAGAAATGGCAGAACAAAGTGAATATGAGGAGAGATTTATGTGTTTAGGATCCCATGGTCTATGATATCGGTATCCTGATCAAATAAAATCATCGTAGAAGAAGAGATTATTTGCTGTTTGTCCCTGAAAACCTTAAATCGAACATTATTCCAGTCCTTTTTAACTGCTGAAACTTAAGAGATTTAACAATTGAATTTGGAAGATAAGTTCTATTGCCTCTTTGCCTCATCGATTTACCCTATGAATTTGTGAGTTGTAACTTGATTATGGTAGTAGATGGATTTTCTCTCAAAAATTCGCCCTTATTGCAGCTGTATCTGCAATTATAGTCTAGTAATACCGAGGAAAAGCATTAGAGAAGTGCCTGCCTATGAAGATAAAAGGTACAGCACCTTATAGTCAGAAATAAAGGAATTTGTGCTTAGGTTGTAAAGTCTCTCATTTTTCATGCTAAAATGAGATAACTTGCTAATCCAAATGTATGCATTCTTGTTGTGCCATTTAGGACTTTAGGAATCATTGGCAGGTAGGATATGAGCATTGGAAAATGTGTTCGGGAATCTCAGACATTCTAGAGATATAGTTCTCAGGCAACTGTGACATATATGAAATGTGACTTAGTTGTTGTTAATGTTGATCATGATTAGACTAGATTTTTCTGATGTCGACCAAAATTTTCCACAGCCCATGAAGTGCTTTAGTGAAACCATGACAATATAATCTTATGTGCATAGGCCATTATAAAAACTTTCTTATCTTCTTTTCCTCAAATACTGTTGAATCAGGTAGGTACTGGGAATTCATTAGTTCCTTAAAAATGATGTCTTATCCATTATCTGATATTGGTGGTCATATCAGTTTTTTTGACTAAGGCCAAATATCTTTTCTTTGTCGATAATCAGTCGTGCCTTATGGTTAGAAGATTTTCATCTCCGTAATTTTGTCTTGCAGGTTGATGTCATTGGTGTCGGTTGCTATTCGTCAAAAGATTTGTGGACATGGAAAAATGAAGGCATTGTTTTAGCAGCTGAAGAAAAAAACGAGACACATGATTTATACAAATCGAATGTGCTAGAGAGGCCAAAAGTAATATACAATGAGAAGACAGGTAAATACATAATGTGGATGCATATTGATGATGCAAACTACACTAAAGCTTCTGTAGGTGTTGCCATTAGTGACTCTCCTACTGGCCCCTTCAATTATTTGTATAGCAAACGACCTCATGGATATGATAGTAGGGACATGACACTCTTCAAAGATGATGATGGCGTTGCATATCTTGTCTACTCATCGGACAAAAACAGTGAGCTTCATATTGGTCCACTTAACAAAGATTATGTAGATGTAACTGAAACCGTGAGAAGGATTCTTGTCGGACAACACAGGGAAGCACCAGCTCTATTTAAGCACCAGGGAACATATTACATGATCACATCCGGCTGCACCAGTTGGTCTCCAAATGAGGCCCTAGCTCACGCATCCGAATCGATTATGGGGCCGTGGGAGACCATTGGAAACCCATGCATTGGCGGGAACAAAAATTTTCGGCTAACTACTTTCTTTGCTCAGAGTACATTTGTGCTTCCATTGCCCGGAATACCTGGTCTCTTTATTTTTATGGCTGATAGGTGGAATCCGGCTGACTTAAGGGATTCGAGGTATGTGTGGTTACCATTAACAGTGGGCAGACCGTTAGACCGTCCTATAGAGTACAACTTTGGGTTCCCTTTGTGGTCTAGAGTGTCAATATATTGGCATAAGAAATGGAGACTTCCTTATAGGAGGTGAAAAATGTAAATAGGGGTTTTACACTCTGATTTCTTTGTAAAATATGTTTTCTTTTCTTTTTGTGTTGTTTAGTATTCTTCCACATCATGTGTTATAGTTAATATTGTTGATTTTTGAAAAGATAATCATAGGTGTAAATATGCAGAGGCTGGACCCAACATTCATTATATGTAAATGTAATGTACAGTGTAATTTCTTCAGCTGTAATCATTTTTTTCTGTGAGTGAAACCAGGATCGGCATTTGTTCACATTGTAGTTTCTGTAAAATTGTCAATGTAGAGACTTATATGTAAATAGAAAATGTAGAGATCTTCTAATGTTAGAGAAACTAAAATTATATAGTATCAGACTGAGACAGGTCAATTGGTTTTTTGACTCTTTATAAACTTGTTTTTAGTTTTTTGAATCTATCTCTTTTTTTTTACACATGGGAGATTTATTTTTACACTTAGAGATCTCTCTTTTATACATAAGAGATCTATAAAGGTCATTTTCTTAAATTCAAAATTGTAAAGAGGCATGACGCACAAATAGTACCTATTTATTAATTGGAGTGACCTGAATTGTAAAAATACGAATAGCCGACCTAAACTGATTAGATTGAAGCGTAATTGGTTTTGGTTTTGTGCATCGTTAATACAGCTTCAATTGACTATATAATAGAAATAGAATGTGATGTTCAGAAATCTATCCAACACTACCTTTGGTTGCACCATGCATGAGAGTGAAGTTAAGGCTAAATGAGTAAGAGCATAGGGAAAACAATGTCAACTCAACCAATCAAATCATTTCTAATACATAATTTCAACAATCTCACTTCTCCGTTATTTCACATCATTAATCATAACTTCAAATCCTTTTAACATTCATGGCACCTTGTGCCCACATTTTCCATCTCACTTCGCAGCAAAATTCACGTGCTAACCGGTACATAATATCCCTGACCAATGCTATTTAGGGTGTTCATGGATTTTATTTATATATCATAAAGTAAAATTACAGTTTCTGAACCAAGTAGGAAATCAATGAGAAAAATGAGTTTATTCTAGAAATCATTTGGGTGAAGAAAATACAATTTTCAAATAAAATACAACATCAGATAAGCTACTGAATTTAATATAGAATTTATTATATTAAAACATAATAGCAATTCCTTTTTAAGTGAAGTAAAAACATCAAACACGGTAAGGAGATTGAGCTGAGAAATCAATTAAAGTAATATGACAACGATTATAAATGGTAAGGTACCGAATAAAACAATGAGTTTTAAATTAAAAGTCACATAAGGTAAGCATATTATTAATTTCTTTATTTAAAATCGTTATATTACCAACAACTCAGCGCATTAAATTCATCTTGAAAATCAATTCACCAAAATAATAGTATTAGGAAAAGAATGCAGGAAATGACGACAAGGCAATTAATCAATGACAACAATTCAATCCTCGAAAACCGGTGAAAAATCGAAAATAAAAATTCTCAGAGTCTCATACGAAAGAACCGAAACCAATACAATACAACAGGGAATACAAGCACATAAGCTTGTTGCGGCGCACAACCCGATTCCACCGTACAACACTATCCACCCATATTTCACCATATAAATATCAATTTTAATAAATAAATATATGTTGCGGAGCACAACCCAATCCCACCATATAAGCAGAGTCAACATCATAATTCACTTTTATTTCACCATATCAATTCACCCTTATTTCACCTGTTGCGGCGAGCAACCCGATCCCAACATATCAATATCATAATAATAAATAAAATGTGTGTGGCGCACTACCCGATCCTACCGCACAACACTATCCACCCTTATTCCACCATGTAAATATCAATTTTAATAAATAAATATATGTTGCGTCGTGCAACCCGATCCCACCATGTAATCAGAGTCAATGCCATAATTCACCCTTATTTCACCATAACAATTCACCCTTATTTCACTTGTTGAGGCATGCAACCCGATCCCACCGTACAATACTTTAAGTTAACATCAATAATTCAATAACTCAATTTACAAGAATTTCTACAATCAAGGATATGAGTACACAGCAACAAAGGAGCCACGTAAGAATCAGAGGAATACAACAAACTTTATAAAATGACAGGACAAGTAAGGCACACGATAACTAAGAATGCAATCACAACAATTAGGACATATAGCAAATAAGCAATAGTCATAGAAGAAATCCAACAATTTAGAGGTAACAAGACAACAAGGAAGGCAATAATTTCAACTAAGGTATATAAGGGTGACGAGCGCAAAACCGGTGTATAAAATGTAGGCTCGCTAGTCAAAGATAGTATAGTGTTTAATCGTCTCCACTTGGATTGGTTTCAATAATGTCCTATTAAATTTTCAGCTCAACACTATCCACGATAATAAATCTTTTGATTGATGTTATTGTCTACTGCAAATAAAACTACTATTATCGACTGTAGAAAACTAATGATACCCTAATGATTAGTAACAACGATTGATTATCAGTGCTAGAAATAAGGGTGATGACAAAATGTGTGATCAACTAGTGTTTCGGGCAACTCTGTGTTAAATTCACTCTTAACTTTTGTTAACTCTTTCGATTTCATCAGATGATTAGGCCACTTCAGGGGTTCAAATTCTTCTTCCGAATAAATTTGATTCCTTTAATTAGCCTAACAATAGGTCTTATGAACATATGCACTAAAATATTGAATGAACGATCTTTCAAAGAATACCTCTCGGTTATTCTTTTGAACTGGGTTAATCGATAACTCTTAAAGCTCTTTCGATTACTTATAAGAGATGTGAAAGCAACCCAAATAAGATGGTACAATGCAAATAGCAGCAAAACTTCTCTTTCGATTGAAGTAAAACTACAATAAGCCTTGAATTCAATTAGTAACTCATTCAATAAATTCGAGCAATTAACAAAAAGTAACACCCATAACAATAGTCCATTCACAACTTCCGTCAATAACCCTACAGAGAATTACTCCATAACGGAGAAAATATTCATAACAAGAGTATTAGAAGAACAAGAAGACATTATAATTCCCAAATTCAAACAAACTTTCTTATTGAGTGAATTGGATCAAATCTTGCTTTCATGTTGCTTCCATCCTTCTTCTCCTCCAAAGTTGCTCTCAAAATCTCGAATACCCTCTTTTTAGACGAGTTGGGCTCAATATAGGTCAAAGGAAGTTGCCTTCAAAATTACAAAATTAGCCTTGGAAAAATTTTCCTGACAAAAGTGCGCAGCCGCGCACTTGGGCAGGTGACCACGCATGTAGCCGCGCACTTTGGCCAGTTTCTGCTGGTCGTGCGCGACCAGTGTGCGGCCGCGCACCTGGGAAACTTTCTGCTCTCTTCTTCGTTCTTCTTTTTTAGTGAGCTTACGTCCTTTGATCCTCGAACATAATCCCAAATTACTCCATAAGCTTTTACTTAGCCTTCAAAGCTCCATACTAGCTCAAAAGTGCTCCCTAACCTCATCGTAGCCTGGGATCGTTCCTGCGAAGCATAAAATACACAGTTAGTGCAAATTAATACTATTTAAAGCTCAAATATTAGTAAAGTACAGTGAATTAGAGTGCAATTAGTGACCAAAATACACTATTATAGCCTCACATCACCACCCCACACTTAAACCATTGCTCATCCTCGAGCAATCCAACTATACTTCACCTAAATACACCCCTTCTCAACAACACTCAACACTCTTTAAAACAGATTAAGTACAATATTGTGACATCTTAACCTCAAAATTTGACTCCACAACACCACGCATTATCTATAACCAACTTACTTTCTCTAACATAGAGGTCAATAACATTGTATTTCCTTCATGAATCAAGTACCCTCACACAACAAAAGAGAGTAGTTCCACATACAATAAAAGTTAAGAACAAGTAGGAACTCATGAATGAAAGAATTCGCTCACTCTCAGAACCAACATTCATATGCCACAAAAGATGAACCATAGGCTTGCCCGTAGTGTACTACTCTACTAATTGAACTCATTCAGTCAAGGATCAAGCAGGACTTTAACTGGTTGTAATGTAGGCTGTCGGACGGGTATGATATATTTAGATATAAGAGTGACTACACCTCCCTAAGCACTTTAATATATACATTTTAAAATTTAAAACCCCACACTTATGTCAAACAAAAACTCTACCTTCACACCAATATACATCAACTCCCAAATTATTTAAGCACAATTGCATCAAGAGTCACTACTATCAAGGAATATTCTTCACACATATAGAATTATTATTATTTTTCCTTTTCTTATTCAATTCAAGTGGCTCACACTTTTTCAAAACCTTGCACTTTTCTCATTATTTCATTAGTTCCACTCAAAAGCCAAACCAACCACCCCACACTTCAACTTTTACACAGTTTATAATAAATTCAAGTGCTCACGAGAGGTACAAGGTTCAAATAGATTGTCAATTTAAATAATTGGGTAAGGTTTGTAATGTTGTTGTCAAAGAAATAGGATTATAGGCTCAAAGGGGTTAACTTAGATACATAACAATTAGGTGGGCAAAGGCTTATAACTGACTCAATGCCTATATCACTTCCAAGACTGAATAAAACTACTATTTTGCTTTGCAAATACACAGGGCAAGTTCTAGAAATCAAATGCATTGCACAAAATAACACAAACCTCGCACCCATATGGCACATAATTCACTCAAGATTGGACTCATCAAGACACCCTAGTCAAAGTAGTTAAGCAAAGTTAAGATCATACAAGTTAAGGTACTTGTACAAGAGTCAAAACTTGAGCCTAAGCGTCACAACCAAAGCACTCACTATTCTCAAGGAATGATCAAGTCAAAATATATTTCCTTTTATTCAATTCATAGCGCAAGGTTTCCTTACTCCTAAAGAAAACAAAAACTAACTACACCCGATTCAAATAAAACTCTTGGAAAAGAATCGCGGCACAAAGAAAAATCAAGGGCGAATTAATACACTACCTAACAAAAGAATATCTTTTTGTCTTTTTTCTTTCGACTTTAATCCCTCAAGAAACCCGTCGAATTGATATCCATCGTCAGGAAAAGACAAAAATTTTAATTTTTTTTTCTTTCAATTAATTGCTACCTAATGCACTAGCAAAGATAAGGCAAACTACAACTTACCAAGAGGAAACTACAACTACATGTACATACAACACACATAGCCCCCACCCCACACTTTAAATGGTGACATGTCCCCATATCACACAAAAAAATGCAAGGTAAA